CGACACCCCCCCCGTCCCCGTCACCCCGGTGGCAGGGGACAGGGTGGCCCCGACGGGGATGAGGTCACCGCGGTGGCGGCCCGGGGGAGGGACGGGGTGGCTTGCGGCAGGGGGGGAAGAGTGGCCGCGGTGGGGAGGGGGTGGCCGCGGGGCGCGGGACCGAGCTGTGGTGGCAGTCGGGGACAAGGGCACGGTGGTGGCATGAGGGGGCAGTGGCAGCAGGGAAGCCTGGCAGGTGGGAACAGGGTGGCCAAGCTGGCACTGGGATGCAGGGCAGGGGCACTGGGAAGGACCACTCTGCCCTGGCAGGGACAGAACGTGGTGACAGTGGGGACAAGGCACAGCTGCAGTGGCAGGGGACACCATACCCTGGCCATGGTGGCCGTGGAACTGGCAGAGGACCCTAGGGGGAATATGGGGGTCCCATGGGGGGTCCCACAGCCCCCACTGGGCAAAGGGAGGGGGGCGCAGCCTGAGCTGGGATGTGGTGGCCCAGGCGGAGGGTGACGCGGTGGCCCGGGCTGGGGGTGATGCGGTGGCCCGGGGGGGCAGGGAGGGCGGTGGTTGCACAAGCATCGTCTCCATGGAAAACGCGGTCAAAACAACAAACAGAGCCGGGGCCGCCTCCGGCTGCATGGCACCACCCCTGTGTCCCCAGTCCCCATGCTGTGCTGGGGCTGTGGGGACCCAGCCTGGCGCGGGGGTGACCTGGGCACTGGGATGTGGCTCAGGGAAAGTTAGGGTGACACATGGGACAGACCTGGGGGACAAGGGGTAGGAGGAAAGGGACAAGAGGAAGTTTGGGCGGTGGGAGGACCCACAGAGGGGCTGGGGTGACAGAGGCAGCAGCAAAGCGGTGTGGGACCCACGGGGTGACACTGGGACAACCCAGGAGCAGAGCCCTAGGGAGACAGTCTGTGGGTGACAGCTCTGTGGGTGACACAAAAGGAAACTTCAGCAGACACAGCCAGAGGTGACACAGGGCATGAACCCTGGGTGACAGGAAAGAGCTGACACAGAGCAAGACCCTTAGGGCGCGGTGACATGGGTGACACAGGACCCAGGAGGAGAGACAGAGGATGACACTGGGCAGTGTCCTCCCCCCATAACATGGAACAAGACCCCTGGGGTGACACTGTGACATGTGGTAGAAGTACCACAGATGACGTGTGGGGATGGCACACAGTGACACAAAACAGGGCTGCTGGGGACCCCCTGGGGGAGGACATGGGGTGGGGCGCCTGGGGGAGACTCCGAGTGACATGGGCCAGGACTCGGAGGTGACATGGATGGGACCCCTGGCACAGTCCGGGGGTGGGGGGGGACACGGGCCAGGACCCTGGAGTGTCCCTGGTCGCGAGGGACACGCGGGGCGGGTGTGGCAGGGGGCGGGGCCGGGGTGACGTAGCGCTCGCGGCCCCGCCCCGCCGGCGCCCCCGTGACGCGCGCACCGCAACGTGACCATATAAGGGCAAGGAGGAGCGCGGGCCCCGCCCCGCCCCGCGCGGGCGCGCCCGGAGCCGGCGGGGGCGGGAAAACGGCGGGAGCGGGGGCGGCGACACGGGGACAGGGGGGCGAGGAGCAGCGGGAACGTGGGGGACACGGGGAGCACGGGGGCAATGGGGGGAGCACAGGGGACACTGGGGATGAGGGGGGACGGGGGAGGATGAGGGGGGACGGGGGAGGATGAGGGGGGACGGGGGAGGATGAGGGGGGACGGGGAGGATGAGGGGGGACGGGGAGGATGAGGGGGGACGGGCTGCAGCTGGAGAGCAGGGGCGGGAGGGGATGCGGGAGAGAGGGAGGAGGATGGGGGGGCAGAGGGAAGGATGCACAGAAAGATGGGGGCTGGAGCAGGGGGGCAGTATCACCCATGGGTGCAGAGAAACGGGTGCTGGGTGGCTGCGTGGAGCGGGGGGGACGCAGGTCCAGGCTGCTCTCACATCTCTTTATTCCGCTCACAGCAGCCTCCCTGTCAAGCCTGTGTCCCCGCCGGGAGGGGGACGGGGGGGACACCTAGAGCAGCGTGGCCAGCTCGAAGCGCTCGGCGCGGACGGGCGGGCGCTGCCGCCGCTGCTGCGCGGCCTCCCTGCGGCGCCGGTAGGCCAGGAACTCCTGGCGCAGCGCCGTGCAGCGGGCGGCCGGCTCCGCCAGCGCCTCCGCCGACACCGAGCTGGGCGCCGACGGCTCTGTGGAAAGACGGGAGAGTCCGGCTGGATGCAGGGATGACACCCACCCCGCCGGGAATGTCCCAGCTCCCCCGCTCAGCGCTGGGTGCCTCCCACCCGCGGGGGGCTGACACTCACTCTGCCGCTGCAGGTCGCGCACGGCGATGGTGGAGAGGGGCCGCGCGGCGTCGCCGGCGCGGTGCAGCTGCAGCGCCGCCAGGATGTCCGACTCCAGCGCGAACTCCGAGTCCCACTCGTAGTTCTCGTCCACGGACGTGTTCCTCCTGCGAAGAGGGGGGACACGGCGGCACCGTCAGCCTGTGGCCAACCGAGGGGTGCCAGGGGACACGTTTGGGGCCAAATGGGGCACAACACGGGAGCAGCATAAGCAGCCAGAGTGGGCAGGGGGCCACGGACAACGGGCTGATTCCCAGGGCTCACAGCGAGACCCTCCTGCCCCACACATCAGCCTGAGACTGGGCACCGCTCAGGAAACATTTGGCTCCCAAGAGCTTCCAGCCACGCGGGCACCAGCTGCATCCGTGGTGCCAAGGGTGGCAGAACGGGCCGCGAGATGCCCAAGCGTGACCTGGCTTGTCCCGCTCACCTCTTGCCTGTGCTAGCGCGGGCTGGATCCTTGCTCAGCCTCTCCTCCTCCTCGGCCTGCTCGGAGCCTCCGCTTTGCCAGCCGCCCCCTTCCTCCAGGGGGGTGCCCAGAAAGTTGCCCCCTGGCGACGGTGCCAGCGAGGGCGGCCGCAGGAAGGACGCGCTGCCCCGGCCGCTGCTCTGGCTGGTCAGGCTGCCCCGCGGCAGCCTCTCGAACGCGGTGGCTTCGTGCTGTGCCGCAGGGACGCCCAGGGACACGGCCTCAGTCCTGCTGGGGGACGCCTGGGTCCAAGAAACCGGCTCCGGAGCCGGGAATGGGGTGGGGGAGCTGCTCCAGGCGGCCGTGCCGGGCAGCGAGGCCTTTGCAGGGCCCACGCATGGCGTGGGAGGCTTGAGGAAAGCGGTGGCTGGCGGGGACGTGGCATTGGCACATGTGTCCATGTAGTTGGTGCAGACCGTCCGCTCCAAGCCCTCCGGCAGGGCGCCCTCCGGATTCCCTGGAGGCGCTGGTTCCTCCGGGGGCGGCCAGTCGCCGTCGACGCACATCTCCTTGAAGAAGGGCAGGCTCAAGTACTGCAGGATGCCGCTGGGCGCCGGCGAGCCGCCTTTGTGCCGGCCGCTCCGCACCTCGGGGCTGTCCGGCGGCGGGAGCCGGAGCGAGGGGGAGCCCTGGAGGGGCAGCGAGTCCTGGAGGGGCAGCGAGTCCTGGAGGGCGCTGGCGGCGCTGGGCTCGGCGCTGCCCGGGCCGCCGCGCGGCTCCTCCGCGTTGCTGTAAGGCAGGGTGGCGGCGGAGGCGGCCACGGGGCTCACGTCCACGATGCACAAGGCTGCGCCCTCGCCCGCGGGGCTGCTGCTGCTGCCGCACCCCAAGGAGCGACCCTGGCGGCAGCCGGACGCCCCGCTCGCCCGGCGCGCTTGGCGGGGGCGCAGCGAGCCCCCCGTGCGCCACACGGGCTCCTCCGCGTGCAGCTGCAGGTAGGGCTCAGGCTGCCGGGCCGCGGGGTCCCGCCGAGCGTACAGCTCCGTCTCGCTGTCGCTGCCCTCCTGCGCGCGCCGGTCAGGCTCCACCACGAAGCGCCCGTCCGGGCCCCGGCAGATGCGCTCCAGGGGCACGTGCTCCCCGACGTGGCTCTCGTACACCGCGTACCTGGAGCTGGTGCCGGCGATGCTGAGGCCCAGGCTCGTTCCTGCCTTCTCGCCCCACAGCAGCGTCCGCCGCAGGCTTTGGTACGGAGACGCCTGCAGCTTCAGCTTCATGGTACTGTCTGGGCTACCAGAGCCATGAGAATTGCTGTGAAAAAGGGAAAGAGGAGTTACCCGAGCGTCCCCACCCTGGTTCCAGGGCTTGTCTGGCTGCAGCCTGTTGCATCAGGCATCTCACAGCAGGTATCGTGACCCCACGTCGCAGGTCTAGAGTCCTGCTCTCCTCTATCTGGTTTCTGATCCTTCCTTCAGCCAAAACACCCAGCAAGGGTGAGCAGAGCACCCGAGGGAGCCCTAGGCCACAGCACATCCTGGCCCCGTGCCCCTCTCCCCAGGACCCTTCAGCAGGTGCCCCGTGCCGTCCCACGCCTGCCCCAAGCCGGCGGTGAGTGAATGAGGAGCGAGGCGGTGGCGGGGAGGGAGCATGGCATGGCGTGACTTACTGTGGAAGTGGAAGCTTCTTGCTGGGGGAGAAGACGAGTGGTGGATCTGGAAGGTCATGAGAACACAAGGGGAATCACACAGCGAGCAACTCAAAAGTGATGATGAGGACACAGCGGCACCCCCTCGGCCCTGCTACCACCCTTGCGAACCTCCAAAGCCCTGACAGAGCCGCCCAGCCTTGGGCTGGCCTTGTCCCCTCCCTCAACACCCATCCATCTATCCATCCATCCATCTATCCATCCATCCAGGGCAGGTCCTGGCTCCCTGGACACGGCGGTTTGAGCTCTCGGAAAGCCCTGGGATCCAGGCGTGTGCACCCATCCCTTGGAGTCCTACCTTGCCTTCGCTTCTGAATGCGCGCGGCCCGCCGGCGGTTCATAATGCAGGCGGCCACCGTGCTGAAGATCACGGCCACGCTGAGGAAGCAGATGCCACCAATGACCCCAGCGAGCACCGGCTGCGGCAGCAGCTCCGGGAGCTGGGTGCGAGACGGATACACCTCCATGCCTGGGCCGGGAGAGGGGACAGGGTCAGATACCGCAGCCACACACAGGCACTGCAAGGAGCAGCGAAACTTCAGCTTGCTGGACCTGCTCTGTCCCTTGGGTCTTGTCACCTTCAAAGTGACCCACAACCTCCACCGTAGCAGGCAGTGGGAGCAGGGATGCTCTGGGCAAAGTTCTTTGGGGTATCCAGCCCATGACTCCAATATCGTGCAAGCTCCATGCATGGACATGAGTGTTCTCACAGTATTAGCCCAGGTGGTCCTCCTCCAGGGCCACTCCGTGGGCTGTATCCCCTGGTCTAACAGTTGGGATGCCGGGGGTGGGAGCTCCCAGGGATGTTCCTTCTTTTTGGGAAGATCCTAGGCTACGCTGGACACCTAGTCCCTTGGTTTGTCTCCAGGCCCAGAAGAGCGAGTGGGCGACCGCTCTTACCTGCTGTGGAGACGTTCACCGTGTTGCTGGGATCGCTGATGTAGCTGCCGGCAAAGGCCACCAGTCGGAACTCATAGAAGGCGTCCTAGAGGAGCAGAGAAAGCCATCAGCCTTGGCACGGCGACCACACAAACCTCAGCCCACCAGGCTCCGGAGCCAAGCGGACCTGCTGCATCACCACGGTCCCAACAGCTTCTCCCAGCACTGGGCAGCAGCAGCACCGGCCCCTGCTGGGGGCCAACCCGCTCCTTGTAGCATCTCTGTGCGGGGATACCCCTCAATAACTGCACCTTGATGAGTCCTGGCACCAAGACCTGGGTCTTCGTGCTGGGGATGGAGCGGTCCAGCACCTCCCAGCCACCTTTGTCCTGCCGCAGCTCCAGCGCGTAGCCACTCAGCGCCACGGACAACTGGCCCGGGGGTTCCCACTGCAGCAGGACCCCACGCGCAGTCTCGTTGGCGGTCAGAGACTGCGGCGGGGACAGGAAGATCCGTATGGTCATGGCAGGCGGCTCTGGAGGCACCGTGGTCAGCGGGAAGCCTACGGAGAAAGAAAGGGGACGTTGGTGGTAGAGCGGATGAGGTGGTGAGAGGAGAGCAGGAGCATCCTATGTGTGTGAAGGTGCTGGGGGCAACCGGGGGACGCTGTGGGCAGCACCGTGGCCCCCTCTTACCCCTGGGCACGGAGGTGACAATCTGGCTGAAGGGGCCACTGCCCAACTTGTTCTGGGCCAGGACGCTGAACTGGTAGCTCATATCTGGCTGGAGATTCTCCACCAAGAGGTGCTGAGCCCCAGCTGGCACCGACAGCGACACCCAGTCGTGATGGGCCCGAGACAGATGCTTCACCCTGAGGAGATGTGGGACCCGTGAGCTCACAGCTGAGGGACCCTCTGCCGCCAGGTGGGATGGATGGGTGCACACCACATCCGTGCCCCTGGGGGACTCACAGTGGTGTGTACCAGACGCTGAACCTCTGGAAATAGCCTCCGTCAAACCCGGGCTCCCAGGAGATGTTGGCTGCCAGCAGGAGTGGGAGCACCGAGACGTTGGTGACAGCGTGAGGACTGGTACCTGGTGGAGAAAACAGACAGCAGATGCATCAGACAAGGGCAGCTCAGACAACAGATGAGTGGGGACATTTCCATCCCCTTCCAGGGCAGTGGGCCCAGATCACTCACCCCACAGCTGCCCCTTCTATCCTTAGGACACCCCAGCACCCACGGACCAGGCCTGGGATAGGCGACTCACCCAGCACGTGGACAGAGGTGGCGGCGCTGATGTGGGCCACCTGGTTGCTGGCCATGCACTCCCAGACCCCGTGCTGCTCCTTGATGAGCGGGCGGAAGACGAGGCTGCTGTTGGCATCTACCTGGGCGCCGTTCTTCCCTGCACTGCCCAGCTGCACAGCAGGACACGTGTCGATAACGGGCGACTGACTTAGGGTCACCCCACCCACGCTGATGTGCTTTAGATCCACCACCCTGAGGCCAGGGTGGAAAGAGAGGCCAAAGAAGGGGCAGGATTTTGCCTCTGTATCTTGGAGAATTGAGGACAGCAAGAGCCAAAGGGCCCTGGGTCTCTTATCCAGCATGAAACAGGCTCTCAAGAGAGTTGTGGTCCTGCATGGCTGCTGTGGGGACACGGAGACTGCCCTGGGACACGAGGTGGCTCTTACCTTCACCCATGTGATAGTGGGTGGAGGATCCCCGTGGGCCATGCAGGGGATCACCAGCTCCCGGCCCACCTCCTGGAAATATTCCTCCTTGGGGCGCACCGTGAAGGCGGGAGGGTCCTGGAACAGAGTCAAGCATGGCAGTGGGCTTGGTGACAGGACGGACGGGGACAGACCCACGGCAGGGCAGGCCGGGGGGCACCGCGGCACATCCGCCGCGTAGCTGGGTTCTCGCAAGGGTGACGTGGCAATGCCCGTGCCCAAGGGGAGCTCACCTTGAGCAGCACCCGCGTGGGCCGCGACTCGCCGGCTGTGCCGTAGCTGTTGTACGGGGTACAAGCGTAGACCCCCAGCGCGTCGTCGTTGCCCGTCGCGATGATGATGGAGCCATCAGATCTCAGGGACCAGCCAGGGAACTAGAGAGGGAGGTGCTGGGGTCAGGACCACGGCCTGGGGGAGCTGTGAGGACAGCGGGAAGGTGCTGGCAGCGGTACCTTGTCCAGCTCCAGCGGGCGCCCATCTCTAGTCCAGCTCACCGAGAGCAGAGGGGGGTTGGCCCTGGCGGGGCACCGGATCACCCCCTGCATCCCCTTGGGCAGGTGGGTCTCTGGGAGCATGGTGGTCACCTCCGCAGGGTCTGTGAGGACAAAGGGGACCTGGGTGAGGATGGCAGCAGGTTCACGGTCCCCAGGGCAGCGGAAGGGGCACCCCTTTCGCACCAGGCCCTGCAAGACCTGCTGGTCTGCTCCATGGGCACCTGGAGGGGTCCCCACTCTGCTGAGCCTGGAGGAGCCTTTTTGGGAGAGGCCAGTGTAACCTGGGCTCCCAAGGGGTGGTACGGCCTCTTACACAGCACTGTGACGAAGGCTGAGGCAGAAGGTGGCTTCCACAGCCCATTGCTGGGGATACAGGTGTATTTGCCAGCGTCATCGGGCGTCGTTCTCTGCAGTAAGAGGCTGCCGTCCACCAGGACACGGACTCGAGCCTGGAGGTGGCTGCAAAGAAAGGACAGGGGAGGAGGGTGAGCGGCGCAGCTGGGACTGTCCCCACCACGATGGGGTGAGAACCTCCTTCCTCAAGCACCCAAGCAGCGCGCTGCCTGTCCAGGGCTCACATGTGCTGCGATCCACGTCCCCTGGGGCCACAGCATCTCCTGGGACAGCCAGCAGGAGCCCACGATCACCCAGTGTTGTCCCCGGTCCCCTCCTGCCACCCTGCTCACCGCGATGCACTGGGTCCCGCTCCCGCCGTACCCGAGATGGAAGACGTTGCTGTTGCCCTGCAGCCAGGTGTAGGTGAGGTTGCCGGGATAGGCCTCGGCCTGGCACGCCAGGAAGGCGTCCTGGGAGACGTTGACGGTGATGTTCTGAGGTGGCACCACGATGACGGGCGGCCCTGCAGCGTGGCACAGAGAGCACAGCGAGGGCTGGGGACAGGGCCTCCAAAAGCCGGTCATCCCTGTGCTCCTCCCAAACCAACCCCCGTGACGCTGCTCCCTCCGCACCCGGGGACACCAAGTGGCACCCAGCAGGGTGACGCACGTGGCCGGGCCCCAGCCAGCGGCCGCTCTTACCCTGCACGAGCACGCGGGTGGTGTGGGTGACGGTGCCCTCCTTGCTGGAGGCATGGCAGGTGTACGTGCCCGCGCTGGCCCGCTCCACCACGGCGATGCTCAGCGTCCCGTTCCTCACCTGCAACCGCAGCCGGCACAGCCTCGTCAGTGCCACCACGGTGACATCGGTGTCACCAGGAAGACGGGGCATGGGACCAGGGACCCCAAGGGACAGGACAGCCTCAAAAGCAGGTCATGGTGGGCAAGGTCAGTGGCAGGAGCTCAGTGCCACCCTGGCGAGGTCAGGCACAAGCTCTGCAGCCAAGCAGGGGCTCCTGCTACTTCTGGGTGCCCCACAAGACCCTTGCCAAGGTAGAGGACACATAACGTGGGCACCCATGTCCCTTGGCACCAGACCTGCCCTTCCCACCTGCACCGTGTCCCCGCTCTGGACAGCCAGGTCGCTCCTCTTCCAGGTCACAACGGGCTGGGGGTTGCCGGCGGCCGTGCACGTGAGGCTCAGCGCAGCCCGGTCGCGCACCTCCACGAAGGCCGGGGGGGTCTCCAGGAAGGTGGGGGGTGCTGCGAAGATACAAACCCAGCATCTCAGCCCCAGGTGGCTGCCAGGGCCCGACCGGTCTTAGAAGACAAGCAGAACTGGCCACGCGTCGTCTTTGCTGGCACAGGGCTGAGCGGTGGTCTCTGAATAGGAATCCAGATCTCTGGGAAACAAACTGGTGGCCAACACTAATTCCAGCTCTGCTATTGTATCTTCTTGCCCTTGGGGCAGGACAAACTCCTCCCCACTGTCCTCCTCATCCTCACTGTCATCCTCAAAACAGGGCAGCAAAGTGACAGAGGAGAGCGCCAAACAAGATCCCCCCTTGCAGAGGGTGTCAGAGCAGCAGCATCTACTCCGTGGGGTCCATCCTGGCTACCCACGGGGTGAGTGGAGAGCTTAAGGAAGACCAGGAATAACCCTGTGGCCAGTGAACAGCCCACTGCCCTGACAGCTGAGATGCTCTGCCTGGTTCTGGCCTTCACTGCAAGCTGCTTGGGTTCTTCCCAGAGCACTTAAGCTGCCCAGAAATCCATCCCGAAGCCAGGACTCGGATGGAGGGCCACAAAAAGAGCAGCTACGAGAGCAATTTGCAGCAAGGGGCAGAGCTGGCACAGACAGGCGGGGTGGGCAGCAGCCTGGGCTCACTCGTGCACAACCAGGAGCCCAGCCTGGAGATTGCAGGAGCACTTTGGGCTCTGCCTGGTGCCTGTTTGCCTTTCCACCCTACGCACGCCGCTCATACCGTTGACGGTGAGGTGGATCCAGGTGCCGTTCTGGAAGTCGTCGTCGGTGCTGGGCCGGTCCAGGAAGAGCACGCGGCACTCGTACCAGCCCTGGTCCTCGGCGCGCAGCAGGTCGATGCGCAGCGAGGCGCCCTCCTCGATCCGCACGCGACCTGCTGGGCGAGAAACTGGGCTCACACGGGGCTCGGGGACAGCCGCGTCCTCGGCTCGGGGGCGCCACGTTCAGCACCGGCTATGGGTGTTGCCGATGCCGCCAGTGCTACCGAGCCGCCGCCGCCCCCGGAGCCAGAAAGAGCTACCAACCTGATGGGCAAATCCCTGCCCGTCTCGCTGGGCGCCTTCCAGGGACCGTCCCCTCAGCCGCCCTTTCCCCTCGAGGGCCCCCTCGGCCGTGTCGCCCTTGGGAGCCCGGCTAAGCCCCGGGGAAGGGAGGTCCCCCCCGCACCTTTCCCTGGCCTGCGCATCCCGCCGGCGCGGCCGGGACGGCCGGCACGAGCGCCCGGAGCCCCGTGCGGGGCTCTCCTGCGCGCAGGGCCCTCGCTCAGAGCCCCGCACTGCGCGGCCTCTTTGATGAGGAGGAGGATAAGGCCCCAAAGCAGCGGCGAACGCAGCCCTCTAATCCGCCGGGCTATTATCAGAGCCATAATCGGCTCAGGAGTGCAGCAGGCAATTGGCTCAGCACCCAGGTCGGGGTGCGCGGGCAGCATCCTCGCTGCACCGCAGCACCCCAGGCCCAAATATGCACCCCTGCACCCCAATACGCATCCCTGGACATCACTGCACACCCCCAGAGCAGATGCGCCTGGGTAAGCCCCACGCCAGGCTGGTGACACCGGCCGGCACTGGTGACACCGGCCGCCTGACTTGTGACTCTGCTATGGCCTCAGGATGCTGCACTCGGAGGTCCCGAGTTCTCCTAAGTCAGCGTCTTCCCAAAGCGCTTCCAGCAAAGTCAATCCACACCGGGAAGGGGTTGTGGCAGCACCTGGGCAAGCTGGTTTGGGCACCAGCTTAGGGACACAGTCTTATAATTGTGGCCTCGCAGCTCTGCGCAGATCCAGAGCCTATGAGCCCTCCTCCCATGGGTGCCTAGAGTTGTGTCCAGCCTCTGCACCCTCTACCCAATTTCCAGGTACTCTCCCATGCCGCTGCCTCCCCCTGTGCTGCCATCGGGCCCAGTGTGACAGGGTTGGGTTCCATCTCCGCTCGTGTGTCCCTGCTGCACCCTCCATCCTGCAACTCGGGGCTCAGCTGGGACCGTGCAACAGGTCCCCGATACTGCAAGGAGCTGGGAAGAGGCTGCAGGAGACGGGAGCAAAGGCAAAACGCCCTCAGGACAAGGAGCCTGTCCCCATCTTGCTGCCACAGCTGCTCTTTGGCAGGTGGAGCCGCAGAGGCTCCCAAATCCGACGCCGCCGTCGCTCCCCGCCGGCACCCGCGGCCCCAGGAGGCGGCTGGGAGCAGCAGCTCCTGAACAAAGGTCCTATTGGAAGAGCTCCAAGGCCCTGGGGAAAACACCCCCCAGCCTCCCCCTAATCCCCCGTGCGGCCCCAGCCCCCTCCTCCCGACCGGCATCTCCGGCTCCTGGCAACCGCCATTCAAAGGGACACAAAGGGGACGAGGACCCGGCGCTGGCCAGGGCCCCCCAGCCCCGCGTCTGGCACCGGAATGGCACCCCGGGGCACAACAGGCGACGGTGGCGCTGGGAAAAGCTGGAGGGCAGCAAGTTTTTGGGGACACGGGCACATCCCCCGCTGCTTGCATGCTATCCGAGGGCCCCGTCTCCACGGTGGGGGCTCCCTGGGCTCTCCGGGAGGGATATCCGAGCTGCTCCGCGTGGGAAGGGCTGGAAGGAGGAGCTGCCCCGGGCGCCTGGTGGCCTCTGCCCATCCCTGGCGGGCGCCGCCGGGGATTGAAAAATAGGCAGCCGGCTGCCATGGTGACGGCCACCAGCCCCCCGGGCCACCCACCTTGTCCTCAATCCGGCCCCTGCCCCCAGCGGCTCCCGCAGGAAGGGCTGGGAATGCAGGCAGGTCCCGGCTGCCTCTGCGGTAACCCGAGCTCCCTGGGGAGCGCTGGGCTCGGGTGACACGGGCGGGATACAGGAGCAGGTGCTGGCGGGGGGGGGGGGGGGTGTTGTCACCCCCAGCCTGCGGGATCAGCCTGTGCATCCCTGCCCTTCCCGCGGGACCATTCCGCTCCCACAGGTTTCCCGGGAGCCGCAACGGCAGCCAGCCCCGTCCCCTCCTCCTCCTCGGGAAGCCTTGGAGCCTCGGCCTTAAGGACGGGAAGAGCTGGTTGCCGGCGCCGCTGCGTTTGCCAGGATCCCTCGAGGTCTGCGGCTGCTTCACTTTAAATACCCCGTAAAGAGGAGAAATCCCCCTCCCACGCGGCAGCCCTTCCCCAGCGCAGCTTTGCTCCAAATCCCGGCCGGGCCAGTGCCGCCAATTAGCGGCTTCGCTGAAATCCCCTCCCCAGGCTCAACCTTCAGGCGACCCCGGCTCTTTTGGGGCTCCCCTTTGGGAGCGCGGCGGGCAGGGCCCCCACGTGGGAGGGCTGTGCCGGCCCTGCAGGGCACTGCCACCCGCCGGCCTCCCTGGATGTCCTCTGCTCACGGAGGCCGGGGAAGCTTCCCCTTGGGAAGCAAGGGAGGATTGCAGTAAATAAAGGGCCCCAAGTGGCACCAATCCTGCCCTGGACCCCCCAAAACGCCCCGTGCGGTGCTTGCAGGCACTGGGCAGGGTCTGCGCTGGTGCTGGCGAGGGGAAAGGGGCGAGTTTTGTGCTGCCGGTGGGTCGGAGAGGGCCTGGAGCTGCCGCTGGCCTGCCCGGAGATGGGATTTTGCAGCATGCGGGGGACGGAGCCGGGACCCTCTATTCCCAACCTCCGCTCTGCGCCCAGGACAAGTCTCTGCACAAGTCGGGTCCCAAGCAGGGGAACTGAAGGCTCCATCAACAAGTGGGAGCTGCTGCCGGAGCGACTTCCCGCTGCCGCCCGGGCGGCTCCCAACGCCCCCACCACGCACGGGGGGACTCGTCCCCGCCGCCGCGACGGCCCCTCGCGCCCCCGGCGTGACTGATGCGCTCCGACAGCGGCTGGGGCCCGGCCTAGGGGAGCGGGGAGCGAGTGGGTCGTGCGCGTGTCGCACCCCGAGCTCCGGGAGCCGCGTGGGCGGCTTCTCCCACGCGGGATCGGGATGCGGGGCTCACCTCGGTACTGCGGGTCGACGCGGGGCGAGTAGAGGCCGAACTTGATGAAGATGGGCAAGGCGAAGCCCAACCGGAGCCACTCGATCACGTAGAGCGGGGGGCGGCCGCGCGGGGCGCCCAGCAGGTCGCAGCCCAGGACGGCGCCCTCGCCGACCCGGCCCACCACGGAGCGGGGCTCCGCCGGGCCGGTACCTGCTGGCGACAGGGCACGGGGGCCACGCGTTGGCAGCGGCACCGGCGCGGGGGCCGCGGCGGCTCCGGCAGCGCCGCCGTGCTCCGGGCGAGCGCCACGTGGAAGCGCGCGGGCCCCCCCCGCTCCGGTGCGGCTCGCCGGGACACCCCCTCCCCGCCCGGTACCGGTTCCTACCGTCAGCGCCGGCGAGCAGGCTGAGGAGAAGCAGCCATGGCCGCCACCGCATAGCACAGGCGCCCGCCGCACGACCGGCGAGCGGCTCCCTCGGCGGCCCCGCCGCGACTCAGCGGCGGCGGCGGGACGGGCTGGCGCGGGGCTCGCCCCGGCTCCGCGGCCGCTCCGCGCTCCTCATGCCGGGTCCCGGGTCCCCGCCCGCGCTCCGCTCCGCTCCGCTCCGCTCCGCTCCGCTCCCCGCCCCGGCGTCGCCGCCGCCGCGGGGCGGCCGCAAACAAACAACGGCGCCAGGGGCGGGGCCACGCGGGACACGCCCCCTCCGCACCGCCCCGGCCACGCCCCCGCATTGCCCCCGTCCCTCCTAGCCCCCGCGCCGCCCGTTGCCACGGGGACAGCCAATCGGGAGGCAGGGCGCCGCGCGGGGCGGGTGGAAAGGGAGCCGCGAGGGTTGCTGGGAGATGTAGTTCGGGTGGGGTGGAAGGGACACGAGTGTGGGACACGGGGAAGGGTCCGAGTGGGGACATGAGGGTGAGGGGGTGACAGGGGACACGAATGTGGAACATGGGGACAGGACAGGAGGTTGGGACATGGGAACAGGACAGGAGGGTGGGACAGGGGACAGGGGCACGAGGGTGGGACATGGGAAAGGGACACGAGTGTGGCACATGGGAGAAGGACACAAGTGTGGGACATGGGAGAGGAGAGGGACATGAGTGTGGGACATGGAAAAGGGACAAAAGGATGGGACATGGGAAAGGCACACAAGTGTGGGACATGGGAGAAGGACACATGTGGCACACGGAAGCAGGGCATGATTGTGGGACATGGGAGAGGAGAGGGACATGAGTGTGGAACATGGGAGAGGAACATGAGGGTGGGGTATGGAAGCAGGACATGATTGTGGGACATGGGAGAGGGACACTGCTGTACGACACAGGAGAGGAACGCAGCTGTCACATGCAGGTGTGGGGACATGGGTGAGGGGACACAGCCATGGTTCACAGGACCGGAACATGACTGGGAGACGAGTGCAGGACATGAGTGCTGGAACATGGGTGAAGGAACACAGGGGATGCAGGAGAGAGATAGGAATGTGAGACACTGGTCAGGGGACATGCATGTGGGGGACAGGTTTTGGACAAACACATGGCTGCTGTGGGACACACCTATAGCACTCTGTTGAGGGACACTGGTGCAGGACACAAGCAGGACAGAGCTGCAGCACCCCAGTGTAGGACACAGATGGGACATGGGTTTGGGACATGGATGGGACATGTTCTTGGGACACACCTGCAGCATCCCTGTGTGGGACATAGATTTAGGACACAAACATGGGACACAGCTGCAGTACCCTAGTGTGGGGTATGAGTGGGACACGTGGGACATGGGGATGGGACACCCTGTTGTGGGACACAGGTGTGGGACTCGTGGGACATGGATTTAGGACAGGGGTCTTGGATACTGATGAGACACAACTTTAGCACCCTGTTGAGGGACACAAGTGGGACATGGATTTGGGACATGAGTATGGGACATGATAGGACACGGATTTGGGACATGGGTATGGAACACGATGGAACACAACTTCAGCACGCTGTTGAGGGACATGGATTTGGGACATGAGTATGGGACATGGTGGGACACGAATGGGACAACTTTAGCACCCTGTTGAGGAACATGAGTGGGACATGGATTTGGGACATGAGTATGGGACACGATGGAACATGGATGGGACACAACTTTAGCACCCTGTTGAGGAACATGGGTGGGACATGAGTATGGGATTACAATGGGACATGGATGGAACACAACTTTAGCACCCTATTAAGGGACATGGGTGGGACATGGATTTGGGAATGGGCATGGGACACGGTGGGACACAGATGGGACACAAGTTTAGCACCCTGCTGAGGGACTCATGTGGGACATGGCTTTGGGACATGGGCATGGGACACACTTGCAGCACCCCGCTGAGTGACATGGGTGCAGGACACGTGTACCCCCCGGGTGCCCGCCAGGGCTGAGCCGGGCTGCATCGCCATCCCGCGACTCCCTGCCCTTTCCCACCCCGTCCATCTCCTCTCTAATCCGCTCCTAACCGCGTCCTGGGCGAGGGGCCGCCTGCAGCGCCATGTCCCCGGCCCGCCGCGCTGAGCCGTGGCTGGGCCGCCCGCCAGGCCGGGGGCTCCGCGGGCCCTCCCGGCACCAGGGGGGACACGGGAGGGGACACGGGCGCCGGGGCCTCGCGGACGAGCGCGGTGACAAGGCCGGGCGGGCGCCGAGAGCGGCCATGCGCCCGGGCGCGTCCAGGCCCTTGCGTGATGGCCGCCCCGTCCCCCTCGGCCTTGCGGGGGTCCCCGCGGTGCCCCCCTCCACCAGCCCGGCCTGGCCCGGCCCGCTGAGCCCGGGTGACTATTGAGGACAGAGCTAAAGTAAGCGGAGCTAAGAGTAAATAATACTGCGGCTAAGCTGCTTTCCTGCCATCTCCCGGGCCCATGTGAGCCCGGCTCCGGCGGGCTTAGGCGCCGCCGCTGGACGGCGCCCGGCCCGGCCCGGCCCGGCTCTGGCCCCGGCTCTGCCAGGGCTGTGTCCCCCCCGGCCACGCGTGCCCCGGCGCCCAGGGCACGGCCTCCGGCAAGGAGGCCGCCGTGCGCTCACGTCCCTCCCAAAAAAGCGGGGATGTCAAGGTGACACCTGGGGACATGGAGCAGCCCCCGGGCATGGGCCACCTCTGCCATTAGATCCCGGCCTGGTGGGCAACGATGTCCACATGGAGGAGATGGGATGAGCCTGGGACCCTGCAGTCACCCCCAGACCCAGGGGTGACCCCCTGAGGCCCAGGGGATGTCAAGGTGACACCTGAGGACATGGAGCAGCCTCTGGGCATGGGCCACCTCTGCCATTAGATCCCGGCCTGGTGGGCAACGATGTCCACATGGAGGAGATGGGATGAGCCTGGGACCCTGCAGTCACCCCCAGACTGAGCCCCCTGAGGCCCAGGGGATGACAAGGTGACACTTGGGGACATGGAGCAGCCCCCGGGCACGGGCCACCTCTGCCATCAGCTCCCAGCCTGGTGGGTGATGATGTCCTGATGGAGGAGACGGGACGAGCCTGGGACCCTGCACCCACCCCCAGACCAGGCCCCCTGAGGCCCAGTTTTGAGCAGGACAAGGTCATTTTGCCAATGCCATTATGCTGCTTTTCTGAGGGGAAAGGAAGACATTTGGGGCCTTTTCCCCCGGAGCCTGGGAGCGGCTGGAGCTGCGGGCACGGGGCGGCAGCGCCGGCAGCGCGGGGCGGCCGAGGCTGCGCTGGCGCCCGCACGGGCACCCGCTCTGCCAGCCATGTGCCGCGCGCCCAGGAATGGGGACGGTGACACTTGTTGCACTTGGGATTTAAATGCCACCAAGGTTAGGAGCAGCTGAGAAGAGATTTTCAGGATTGGATTTTTGGACAGAGATGCCTAAATTCCAGCTAAGCTTCCCTTTAAGCATCAAAGTCCCTCGGATGGACATGTTCGCAGCGGGGCGGCCCTTGCATGCTCTCTGACGTGGCCACCATCCTTGGCACCCAAACAGAGTCCCGTGTCACTGCTCAGTCTCTCTCTGAGTCTTGGTTCCTGCTGCCCAAAGCAGAGCTGAGGATGATTCCCGCAGAGACGGGCACAAACACCCCATCTGGCGCCCAGAAATGCTGCACGCACCCAGCATGCAGCCCCAGACCAAGGTGCGTGGTCTCTCCAAGACCTGTGAGTGCCTTGGCCAACACCTGGATGCACCCTCAGGTAACCCCAGAATCCTGGGCAAGCCCTTGGGTGACTCCTGAGTCCCAGGCAGGGGTCGGGAGCCTCTCCAGGCTCTTCCTTTGGAGCATCGTTGCCCATGGGCTCCGTGTGGCCAACGCACTGGGGCTGCTCGGAGCCTGTGGGAGCTGCACGCGCGAGCTGGTTCCCCAAGCACAGAACAAGGCACAGGAGGGTCCTTTAATGACGGACAGGACAGAGCAGCCTCTCCAAGCTGGAAAAGGCTCCCCTTCCATTTTCGGCTTGACAGAATGACCATCTCTACCCATCTCCGCCCAGCACGCGCTGCCTCAGGGGCGACGGTGACTCTTGGGCCTCCTCTTCCTCCTTGCCAGCCCTGTGGTGGGGCAGATCCCACCGATACTGTCCCTCCTGCTTGCTGCATCCAACACAAAAGACCCATGGCCATGGTCCCAGTGCGGCGCGGCGGTGGGAGACGTGGACACAGGGCTGCCCCTACTTGGTGCGCTGGTAGAACTGGATCACGGCTTTCTCCTGCTCATGGGTCTCGATAGCCCCCGGCCGGAGCCTCCGGATCTCTTGGATGGCATCAATCCCGCTCAGCTTCTGGGTCTTCACAAGGTAACAGGCCAGCATGGTGCCTGTGCGGCCGTTCCCCAGCAAGCAGTGCACTGCCACGGCCTGCAGAACAGCACGATCGGCATCACTCGCCCGCTGCCGTTACCTCCATCTGCAACAGCTCCCGCTGCCCACACTCCCCATGTCACCCCCCAGCATCACCCCATTGGCGTTACCCCCGTTGGCATCTCCTCTGCCTGGCGTTACCCCTGTTGGTGCTATCCACCTCGCTGTTCCCTCCCGAATTGGTGTTACTCCTCCTTGGTGTTCTTCCCATTGATTTCCCCCCCATTGGCAATACCTGCCTTGGCGTCCCCTCCGTTGGCATTCCTCCTCCTTGGTGTTCTTCCCATTGGTGTTACCCCTCTTAGGCATTGCCCCCTTTGACGCTCCTCCTGGTGGTGTTACTCCTCCTTGGTGTTCTTCCCATTGGTTTCCCTCCCATTGGCAATACCTGCCTTGGCGTCCCCTCCATTGGCGCTCCTCCTCCTTGGTGTTATTCCCATTGGTGTTCCCCCTCTTTGGCATCTCCCACCTTGGCATTCCCGCCATGGGCACTACTCCCCCTTGCCTCCATCCCCACGGGCACCCCCCGCCCCGTGCCGGCCTTGCCTCCCCCTTGCCGTTGGCCTCCTCCACGAGGCTCAGGAAGCTCTGGATCTGCTCCTGCGTGGGCGGGCAGAAGTCGGGCACGCGGAGCCGGTGCAGCTGCAGCTGGGGGCAGCAGTCGTGGTGCGGGGGCGCCCGCTCCGTCAGCGACACCAGGTGCCGCACGCCCTGGCCCAGCAGGAACTGGTAGTGCCCCGGCTCGCGCGGCATGGCCAGCCCGGCCAGGCGCCCCGGTGCCACCCACGAGAAGTTGCCGGGCTTGGCCGTGGCCATGGCCTGCGGGGACACGGCACCATTTGGGGCCCCGGTGCCCCAAACCACGCTGCCCCCCGGCCCGGGCACCCTGCGAGGCCCTCGGGAGTGATCCCGCCTGGGACCCCCTGGGGAAGCCCCGGTGGGAACCTCGACCGGGGCTGCCCCCCCAGCCAGTACCTGCTGGGACCCCCGAGCAACTCAATAGGACCCCAACTGGGACTGCCCCCCAGCCAGTACCTGCTGGGACCCCCGAGCAACTCAATAGGACCCCAACTGGGACTGCCCCCCAGCTGGTACCTGCTGGGACCCCCGGGCTGCCCAATGGGACCCCGACCAGAACTGCCCCCCCACTTAGTACCGGCTGGGACCCCCGGGCTGCTCAATGGGACCCCGACCAGGTCTGTGTCTTCCTGACTGCACCCAGTCCCCTTCCCCCCCGCACTGAGCGCCCCCCCGGGGCTGCCCCCCAGGCCTTCCCCCGCGGAGCCCCCTCGTGCGCAGCCCCCCCAGCCCGGGGCGGCCCCGACCCGGTTTCGCTCCCGACCCGGCTTCGCTCCCGACCCGCGGCTCCTCCCCGGGCCCGGAGGCCGCGCGGGATCCGCGGCCGCGGCCTGGGGGCCCGCACGCGCCGCGGGCCGCCCCGACAGCCCCCCCGCTCCCTCCGGGACCCCCGGCGGTCTCCCCAGCCCCGCCGGGTCGCTCCGTACCCCGCCGGGGCGCCCCGTCCCGCCCCGGGGCCGCTCGGTCCCGCCGGAGGCCGCGGCGCAGCCGGGGAGCGTCTGCGAGAGCGGCCGGGCGGCGGCGCAGGGAGCGCCTGATACCGCCGGGAATGGTGGCGGGGACGGGAATGAGGGGACACCGGGAGCGCCTGGCGCCGCCGGGAACGGCAACGGCGGGAATGGGGACGAGGGGACACCGGGAGCGCCTGATACTGCCGGGAACGGCAACGGCGGGGACGGGAACGAGGGGACACCGGGAGTGTCTGGCGCCGCCGGGAACGGCAACGGCGGGAATGGGGACGAGGGGACACCAGGAGTGCCTGGCGCCGCCGGGAACGGCAATGGCGGGGACGGGAACGAGGGGACACCGGGAGCGCCTGATACTGCCGGGAACGGCAATGGCGGGGACGGGAATGAGGGGACACCGGGAACGCCTGGCGCCGCCGGGAACGGTAGCGACGGTGACGAGGGGACACTGGGGCTGAGGCCAGGGTCGCACCGGGCGGGGAGCCGCAACCCCCCTTGGACCCGCTGCGGGGCAGGGAGGACGGGAGCAAAACGAGGGGGACGGGAGGGCGTCCCCAAACGGTGCCCCCCCCCCCCCCAATTCATTTCCTGCCGCCCCCTCTCTTTAACTAACCCGCCATCGCCTTTGGCCTCGCTCCTGCAGGGAACACCGCGACCTGCCCGGGGTGTCATTGCCCGGCAGGGCCACAGACCCCGCTGCGTCCCGGGCACTTTGGACCGGCAGGGACAGTGACACTGTGATGCAGAAGTGGCCCCAAGTGGCGGGTCCAAGACGGTCACTCCATAGTGCCCGGGTGCCCCAAAGTGGCCCTTTTCCTGGCCTGTGTTGTCCCAGGGATGTTTTTAAGAGCAACTGCCGTAATTAAATCCTCTTTTCTCCCCTAGGTGAGGAAAACTTCATTCCAGAAGAGTAACAAGAATCGGGTGTTAAAGCCGTTGCTATTGGCATCACCGTTCTAGGAAGGAAAACCAAACCCCAAAAAACAAACAAAAAACAAACAAACCAAAAAAAAACCCCCAAAACAACCCCCTGCCCCCCCAAAAAACACCTTGCAGAAGTGCATGGAAATTCCCAGGCTCTGGTGACAGGGTCTTCAATCTAGGTCCTGAGCTGCTGGCTCCACCAAGAGGCTTTGGGGCAAAAGTGGGGGGCTTGTGGGCTCTGGATGGGGCTGAGGTGGGTGAGGAGCCACCTGGGTGTGGGAGATGGGCACCCATGGCGCTGCCCGGGTGGCTCTGCCCGCTGGAGGTTCCGGACGTGGTGGCAGCACGGGGTTTATTTAAAAAAAAAGCAAAGAGGAAGAATGAGGAATATTACGGGGAAGCCCAGGACACACAACGGGGGGCCCCAAAGCCTCCTGCTCCCTGCTTTTGGGGCCCTGTAGACATGGTTGGACTTGATGATCCTGAGGGTCTTTTCCAACCATACCGATTCTGTGGTTCTCTGTGCTGTCCGTCTGCCCCTGCCTGTGATCCCTGCAGGCTCCAGTTCCTGAGGAATGGAAAGCTGGTAGGTCACTACAGGCCTTCGCCAGGTTTGGGACATCTCATGGAGAGCAATCGCCAAGAAATGGGTAGATCATGGAATTACAGAAGGGTTGAGGTTGGAAGGGACCTCTAGAGATCATCTAGTCCAACCCCTCTGCTCCAGCAGGGACACTCAGAGATGGGCACCCGGTTGCATCCGAGTGGATTTGGAAGCTCTCCAGAGAAGGAGACTCCACAACCTCCCTGGGCAGCCTGTGCCAGAGCTCTGTCACCCTCACAGCAAAGAAGTTCTTCCTCACATGGAGATGGAACTGCCTGGGTTTCAATTTGCACCCATTGCTCCTTGTCCTGTCATGGGCCACTGCCGAGAAGAAATTGGCCTCATCCTGGTTACATTCTTCCCTCAGGTATTTGTGCGTATTGATGAGATCCCTTCTCAGTCTTCTCCAGGCCCAGCTCACTTAGTCTTTTCTCATGCAATAGATGCTCCAGTCCCTTAATCATCTTCATGGCTCTGTGCTGGACCCTCTACATGAGATGCGTGGGGACATGGTTTAGCAGACATGGTGTTGAAGGGTTTATGGTTGGACTCTGTGATCTTAAAGGTCTTTTCCAACCATAATGATTCTATAAAGATCTCACCTGACTCTACAGCCTCTTCTGTTGACCAGACCAATGCAGCCTCTTGGGGTAGAGCACCATGGGGGAGCACGAGGTGTCCATGGGTGTCATTTGGGGACCCACCTGTGTGCTGTAGCGCTTGATGGATCAAATTTGACCAGTAAAGACCTCTGTTGCTTTTCAAACCCATTTTCTTTAATAGTTGGATGCCATGTGGCCAATGTGGGCTTACAAACTGCAGAGAGAGAAGGGGGCACATCATTGTGGTTGCATCTCAGCTTCCCAAAGGTCACCAGCCCCTATTAGCAAGGATGTAGAAGTGCCCTCTGCGTGGCTCCTGGATGGGTCTGGGCTGTCTCAGGGCTTCAGATACACCTCTCCCGCAGTCTCGTAGGGGAAGTTTCTCCAGCCGAAGATGGGGGTTTTGAGGGGCGAGTTGTACATGGCCGCTGTCACATCCCTGCTGGAGAGCCCCGAGTCCCACATGTAGACATCGCCCATCTCCCCTGTGAAGGACTGGCTGGCGTCAAAGCTGCCCGTGCGGGAGTCCTGCTTCTGCCCCAGCACGATCACCGCCTCGTTGCTCACGGTGTAGCCCTTCTGCGTTCCCTTGCGCGGCCGGGCCTTCCCGTTCACCCAAAAGCCCACAATGCCCGTGCTGGATTCCCAGGTGGCACAGACGTGCTGGCTTTCCATTGGAGTCTCCTCGGGGACAGGGAAGGACACAGACTTGCCCCCTACGTACACCTGGTACTCCCCAGGCCTACGTTTGATGAGGGCGATGTCACTGTCCTGGGCCTTGGTGGCGTAGGAGAAGAGGCTGTAGGGCCAGGTGAGGTCCGTGTAGGACCTCAGGCACACGGAGAAGTTCTGCAGCGGTTGCTCCGGCGTTGCCTTAACCAGCACGTACGAGTCATTGGTCTTTTGAGGAAACACCAACACGTGTGTGAAGAGGTCTGGGAGAGATGGCAAAGGGTGGTTGCTCCTGTCACGGCAAGGAATTGCGGCCACCTCCCAGCCCCTCCAGACAAGGACATCCTGCCCGGGCGCATTTCCCGGGAATCAATTTTGACAATTTGGGAAATTTCCAACATTTCACTTCCCAAAGTAATATGCCGGCAAGGAGGCCACTGCTGGCCTCAAAACTGAATGCAGAATCACAGAATCTTCAAGGTTGGAAGGGACCTCTAGAAATCATCCAGTCCAACCCCCCTGCTCCAACAGGGACACCCCGAGCACGGGGCACAGGGTGGCATCCAGGTGGGTTTGGAGACCTCCAGAGAAGGAGACTCCACAACCTCCCTGGGCAGCCTGTGCCAGGGCTCGGACACCCTCACGGTGCACAAGTTCCTCCTCACATGGAGATGGAGCTGCCTGGGTTTCAACTTATTGTCCCTTGTCCTGTCACTGGCCACCACTGAGAAGAGCTTGGCCCCTTCCTCCCTCCATTCCCCCCTCAGGTATTTATACATCTTAATCACATCCCCTCTCCATGTTCTCTTCTCCAGGCTGAACAGGCCCATCTCAGTCTTTCCTCATAAGAGAAATGTTCCAGTCCTTTAATAATCTCTGTTGCCCTCTGCTGGCCCCTCTCTAGAAGCTCCACATCCCTCTAGTCCTGGGCAGCCCAGAGCTGCACCCAATGCTCCAGGTTTGGCCTGCCCAGAGCTGAGCAGAGGGGCAGGATCCGCTCCTTGGACCTCCTGGCAACTCCTCCTGATGCAGCCAGGAGCCCACTGGCCTCCTTGGCCACGAGGACCCTGCTGCCCCATGGTTAACTTGGTGTCAACCAGGAAATACCCTGTCCAGAACGTGCCTCACAGTGTGTCCAAATGGAGCCACCGATGTTGGCCACATGTGTGATGGTGGCACAGGCACACGGACCACATGGAGCCTCACCCCGCAGGAGCCCTGTCTTGGGGGTCCCGCTGTCCCTACCATTTATCTGCAGGTTGTAGGTGGCCACCACAGAGCCCTGGGACGTGGTGGCTGTGCAGAAGTAGGTGCCGCAGTGGGTCTCGTTGAAGGAGCGGATGAGGAGGATGTTGTCCGGGCCTTTCTGCAGGGGCTCCGGGCTTCCTTCCTTCTCCCACAGGAACTGCTGAGGACTGAGGCGGGCAGGAGGTCACCCAGGGTGGCCTGGAGAGGCCCCCATCCTGCCCCTTCTGCTCCTGCTGTCCATGGGGTGCCCGAGGTCCCGCTGGGAGGGGTGGGAGAGCCTTACCTGGGGGCGCCGGAGACCTCGCAGGACAACAGGAGCTGGTGTTGCGTGGTGGGCGCCGGCGGGTGGGCCTCGATCCTGGCGGTCACTATGTCCGTGGCACCGGCAGGGAAGGGCTGGGTTGGGCTGGGGGGGTCCCTGTGCTGCGTCCTGCCGTGACCCCCTCGCGGCACCCGGCGTTGTGTCACCCGGTGCCGCGCGTGCCCCACTGCACTGCTGGGTGCCCCACTACACTGCTGGGCGCCCCACTGCACTGCTGGGTGCCCCACTGCAGTGCTGGGCGCCCCACTGCAGTGCTGCTTGCCCCACTTCACTGCTGGGTGCCCCACTGCAGTGCTGCTTGCCCCACTGCAGTGCTGGGTGCCCCACTACACTGCTGGGCGCCCCACTGCACTGCTGGGCGCCCCACTGCAGTGCTGGGCGCCCCACTGCAGTGCTGCTTGCCCCACTGCAGTGCTGGGTGCCCCACTACACTGCTGGGCGCCCCACTACACTGCTGGGCGCCCCACTGCACTGCTGGGCGCCCCACTGCAGTGCTGGGCGCCCCACTGCGCAGCCACTGCCCCTCTCCCTTGCCGACCCACTGCCCTCGTCGCACTCGCTGCGCCCGTGACCGCAGGGCTCCGTGCGCTGCTGCCCGCTGCTCTGCCCCACGTCACCGCACCCGCTGCTCCCCGCTCCGTGACCCCCCCGGCAGAGCCCCTCCAGCCCATACCTTGTGGGGCCGAAGGGCCAAAGAGCCCCGTGAGAGTGAGGAGCCAAAGCCACCGCATCCCCATGGTGCCAGGGAGGTCCCTGCGGCCAGCGGCACGTCCGTGGGCAACGGTGCAACGCGGGGTCGAGCGGCGCGGCGGGCGGGCCGGGGTGACCGCTTTGCTGCGCGACGGTGTGACGTCCGTGGGCAAACTTCACATCCCGGCGGATCCGACCGCCCGGTGAAGCCCCGGGGATGCTTGGCCGCGCTCCCGAGAGCAGCCCGTGTGCTTGGAGCCTCCGGGGCCAGCAGGCTGGCAGGGAGCCCGGGGACAGCAGGGCTGTGTGGTGGAGAGGGGCGGAGAGGAGCGTGTGCTCGAGGACAAGCAGCAAAGGCTGCACGCTGACCTCTCCCTCCATGGGCGTCCAAAGGCTCGGGGTGGGATGGCAAGAGAGACCCCGTGTTCAAGCCAGCTGGTGCACAGGACCAGGACAGAGCCCCGGCTGGGACACACGGAGGCCCAGCCCAAGCCTGGCTCAGGACTGGGGGACAGACCAGCTAAAGGCGAGTGAGCGGTGAAAGCACCTGGGGGGACACCCAGCACCGTCTGTCCTCGTCTCCTCAGATCCCGGGGCCCCAGAGACAGGGCAGGGCTGTCCCCGCTGCCAGGGGCCAGGGGTGAAGGGAGTCCCCCGTGGGAGCGGCTGGCTCTGGAAGTCCCCGAGCTGAAGGGACGGGGCAGAAACAGCAGCTGGGAGTTCCCTGGCACCCGAGGAGCAGGAAGATCGCGCTGGGGAAAGCACCAGGGCCAGGGGAGAGGCGGGTGTGGAAATGAAGGGAGCAGAACTTCCAGGGTGCTCCTGCACCTCCCAGGACCTGGGGAGACGGAGCAGCCGGCGGGGATGATGATTCCCACCTATGGGGAGGTTTTGATCGCCTCTTGGGGTGGGAAGAGACAGGGAATGGTGGACCTTGCATTTTGGAGCCCTCTGTAACATTCTGGGGTGTCCTATAACATTCCCCTGGGGTGTCTCCTATCCGGCTCAGTCCCTCCACGTCCTTCCCCAATATTCCCAGCTTTGATTTCCTCCCCTGAGCCCTTGCAGCCTCATCTCCTCCCTGAGATGTGGGCACCAGAACAGGTCTGGGGACCATGGCCTGGAGGCACCAAGGACTTGTGGAGCAGCAGGACCACATCCCTGCTGAAACAGCAGCTCCCGGGAGATACAAGCTGGTCCCGGTTATTTATTTATGCTCAGCTGGTTGTTTTAACACCTCTTGCAGAGTCCCCCCAACTTCATCTCAGGTCCTAGGGCAGGATTCAGGGTAGGAATGTCCCCAGCCTTGTCCCTGGCTGGCGTCCGCACAAATCATTCATTGGGCAGCTCAGCCTTTTCTTCTCTTGCTGCTCCTTTCACCCTGCTCGTGCTCTCCCTGGTGGTGTTTCTGTTCCTCGCGTATTTGAAGAAGGGTTTCACGTCACTTTTGATTTCCTTTGCTGAAGCAGAGCAGGAAAAAAAAAAAAAAAGACTCTCTGCAGGGCTGTGGTTTCCTATAGACACATGGAAACCACCCTAGGATCAACGGGGCATCCCGAGGAGCCGGAGCTCAGGGTTGGTTTGGGGATCTCCAAGGCTCTGGGGAAGAGGTGGCCGCTTGGTGGTGGAGCTTGGTGGTGGAGCTTGGTGACGGAGCTTGGTGACGGAGCTTGGTGGTGGAGCTTGGTGGTGGAGCTTGGTGATGGAGCTTGGTGGTGGAGCTTGGCGGTGGAGCTTGGTGACGAAGCTTGGTGACGGAGCTTGGTGGTGGAGCTTGGTGGTGGAGCTTGGTGGTGGAGCTTGGTGGTGGAGCTTGCCGGTGGAGCTTGGTGACGAAGCTTGGTGACGGAGCTTGGCGGTGGAGCTTGGTGGTGGAGCTTGGCGGTGGAGCTTGGCGAATCCAGGTGGGTTGAGGTCCTGCCCTGCGGAGCGATGGGGGAACCCAGCTGTGAAATGCCCCGTGCTCTCTCGGATGAGGCGGTTTTGCCTCCAGCCCTCCCCATCGCTCGGAGCCTTGCCGGGCGGGATCCTGCGCTCTTGGCCCCCTTCCCACCGTTGCTCCCGGGACGTGGCCCAGCCTTTCTCTCCCCCGGGCCGGCGCGTGGCAGGACGTCACGCGGAGCCACGCGGGTCATGTGGAGCTGCGGGTGCTCTGTGGAGGCAAAGCGGGTCATGGGACAGACGGGACAGTGAGGGGACACTGGGGGCTGCAGCCGCTCCGGCCCTGCCCCGGACCCCTTCCTAGAGCACCAGGGCCTCCCGCAGCCTGGCTTTCACCACCACGTCCCCCTTCATTTCGTAGCTCAAGCTCTTCCAAGCCAGCACGGCGGGCGGCAGCCGCAGGGACTGATAGGCGGCTCTCATCTTGTCGGGCGAGAGCCCCACGTCCCACAGGTAGACGTCGGCCAGCTCGCCCGTGAACGAGTTGTAGGGGTCGAAGCCGCCGCCGTAGGCGTCCTGCTCCTGCCCCAGCAGGATCACGGCCTCGGCGCCCACGGCGTAGCCCTTCTGCAGCCCCTTGCGCGGCCACGGCTTCCCGTTGAACCAGAACTCGGTGAGGCCGGTGGCCGACTCCCAGCTGGCGCACACGTGCTCCCAGTCCCAGCGGCCCTCCGGCGTGCGGAAGGTGACGAACTTGCCCCCCACGTAGAGCCGGTACTCGCCGGGCTTGGGCTTGAAGAGGAGGATTTCGTTGTCCTGGGCCTTGGTGGCGTAGGAGAAGAGGCTGTAGGGCCGGGTGAGGTCCGTGTAGGACCTCAGGCACAGGGTGAAGTTGTGCAGCGGCTGCTCGGTCTGCGCCTTTAGGAGCACGTAGGCATCGCTGGGGTCCTTCCGGAAGACAAACACCTTTCTGTAGAGGTCTGGAAGAGGAGAGACGGGACGTGGCGGGCGCAGCTCCCTCCCACCCTCTCCCAGCCTTCCTGCACGCTCCTGTATCCCCTGGGTGCCGCTGCATGCCCAGAGCCCGCTCTGCTGGCCCCCATCTTGCCCCTGGGGCACATGGGGCACCCCTGGGTGCGGGCATCCTCGCTGGGCCCTGGCACCCCTCCACGCTGCCCTGCGCCCCGGGAGATGCCCTCACCCCTGTCACCCAGGGGCACCCCCAGCCTGGCAATGGGGTCCAAAGCCCTGACCGCAGGCAGCCCGGGGCAGTCGCTGCGGGATGGCCTTTGGGAATGCCTGGGAGCATCCATGGAGCCCCCCATGCTCCTCCTGCGATTCCTATCCCGCTTGCGCTCCCTGTCCCCGCTATCTGCCCACACGCTGGCTCCAGCGCCCCGGAAACACCCCCTACCTTCCTGGGCCGCCATGCCCGAGAGGCCGGCAAGGACGACGAGCCAGAGCTGCAGCTTCCTCATGGTGCCGAGCTCGGGGAGCCGCTGGCGACGGCTGGGGACGGCAGCAGCGCTGAGAGCCGGGCGGGCGCCCGCGCCCTTTATCGGGACGGGACGGGAGGGGAGGTGCCCCCCGCCAATCCCGGCGCCGGCAGCCTGGCACGGCCGGCTGGGCGATTTCACGGCGTCACGCGGAGCTCGCGGAAGGCCCTTTCCCCCCATCCGCACGAGGCTCCCCGCTTGGAGCTGCGCCCGGGGTTGGTGCCCGGCTCGCGCTGCCAGCCCAGGACACCCTCGGAGTGAGGGTCTTACCTCCCCTCACCCCTTCCCTGGGCGCATCCCCCGGGAAGAGCATCCTGCCCAGAGCCCGGCTCCTCCCGGCTCCCTCCCCGGCTCTCCAGAGGGAGCTCCATCCCCAGGCTCCCTCCGTGTTCAGTCCCCCAGATTTGGGCTTTGCAAGACCGGGCAGCCTTGTGGGGAGGCCGGGAGAGCTCGGGGGATGGAGCAGAGGATGTCCCCACACTGACCATGGGGACGTTGCAGGACTGGCATCTCAGTCCTGTCCCTGCTATGGGGCCGGTGGCCGCATCCCCACGGGAACGGTGCCGGAGCCCAGCGGCTCCCAGTGCCGCGAGGCCGCAGGACGGAGCCGGGAAGCAGAGCTCCGGGCAGCAGGTGGCAGAAGCCGCCGCGGCGAAGCCGGCGTGCCCGGGCACGGAGGGTCCCGGCACCCGCTGCGGATCCTCCTGGCCCCGGGAAGGGCGGCCCTGGCCCCGCTGGGCAACGTGCTGCCCGTAGGAGCTGCGAGACTGAGCCTGAGCGTGGCGCCCCACGGTCAGACCAATCCCCCACATTACGGGTGCGGAGAATCCGCTCACTTTGGGGGAGAGAAATGGGGTAAAGGAGTCACGTTAACCAGCAAAAGCTGTGGGCAGCTGGAGGGGCAGAACGGGGCTGCTTTGGGCCACGGCTGGCAATGCCCTTGTGGGGAAGGTCCTTGGGGTCTCTCCCTTTCCTCAGCTGAGCTAGGAGCAAGGGATGATCCCAGGGCTGGTGTCACGGGGAGCAGCTCTGTGTGTTCATCCTGAAGGAGTTGGGGAGAGCCCTGCGCGAGTGCCACCGTGGCCACCCCGAGGCCACGGGGCCAGTCGGTGGCCAGACCTCGGTGTCCTGGCCTTGGCGCCGGGCCTCCCTGTCTCCCTCTCCCCGAGTCGCTCCCGGCTCTCCGTCCACATCGATTTCGCAGCCTGTGCATCTTGTGACCGCGCACGGGGCCGTTCCTAATCGGAATGGATGAGGGCTGCTTAACCGCCTCCAGCGCCGGATATAAATCACCCTGTTTCCCGCTAATCGACTGGAGAGCTTCTCTGCCATTATTAACTTTTCTCTCTAATTTGGAAGCACGAGGAGCGTATGGCTCCCATTTCCCGTCAGTTGGTCCCGCGGGAGCCCTAATGGCAGCGTGACCGGAGGTGATGGATCTCAGCAGAAGAACCAGCGCCAAACATCCTCAGGAAACGCTGTCCCCGGCCCGCGGGGACAGGCGCCTTGTCCTGCGCTGCCCTCGGGGCCTCGCAGGGATCCGGGCGCCTCTGGAGCCATCGCTTTGTGACAGTCCCTGTCGCAGGTACTGACCTGCCAGCGTCCTCCCGCAGAGCCGTCTCCCTGGGGTGCCGTTTATCCCGCCACGGACAAGCGGGCACCCAAGGGAGCCCCTGCGCAGGTCGCCCCTGCAGCTCCTCACTGAAGACCCCGCTCTTGGTGGCACTGAGGAGCCACCCCGGCCGGACCGCTGGGCTCTGGCACAAAGCCCCGCGGCCGGTTTGGCGGGAGCCGTTTGGAGCCATTCGCTGCTTCGTGGGTGACGGAGCGGGTGACAAACGACCGCGAGCGCCGCCGTGCTCGCCGCGGGTCCGAGCCCGCGCGTGCCCGCGCTCTGCGCTACCTGGCATTAAACGCCAGCCGAGCCCGGGAGACCAGGGCCTGACAAACGTATATATTGTATATAATCCCTGCCGGCTGATCTCTGACATGACGTTTATCTCTGCTCGTCAGGAGAGAGTGAATAATCCCCTTCACTTGCTCATAAGATAAGCACTGGTGCTGGGAGCAGTGGGGCCTGCTGCCCTTGCCACCCGCCGGGGCTCCGGGCTGATCCTGGACCAACTCCGGGCTGATCCCGGGCCAGCTCCATGCTTTTCCCGGCCCCTTGAGGTCCCCTCTGCTTTGAGATCCATGAACCTCCCCGCAAAGGAGGGAAACTGAGGCACGAGCCGCCCCACACGCGGTGGCCGCGCTGCCTTCTCTCAGCAACGAGCCCAGGGTTCGGCGAGCAGCTTGGCAAGGGGGGTGCCCACAGCAAGGGCTGCTCCGCATGGAAAACAGGGATGCGAGCTTGGAGATGCCCGCAGGGGCTGCTGGAGCACCGGAGTCCCCGCATGCAGCCCGGGGGCAGGAGGGGCCCCTGGGGACCTGGCAGCCCCCGAGGTGCCCAACTGGGGTTCCTGGCGGCCACGGGCAATCGGGCGGCTCCGAGCTGCTCCGTGAGCGCGGCCGGGCCCGGAGCGGCTCCGCGCCGCCGGCCTCGGCACACGGCGGGAAAGGAGCTCAGCCCTCCGTCCTCCCGGCCGCGATCCGGGAGAAACCGGCAGACCGGGCAGGTGGAGCGGTGAATCCCGGCACAAGAAGGGGTCCCTCTGGGAACCCCCATCCCGCCCAGCCGCTGGCCGGGAGCGCGCGGGAAGGGGGTGGCTCTCACCTGGCTCCGCTGGGCGCTGCCCGCTCTGCTCCCTGCGGCTCCAGCCCGGCTCGTCCCGGAGGCAACTGGGCTTGGGGACGCACGTGCGCAAGGAGGCTCTGCGTGCGGCCGGATGGGAAGAACAGCCACCAAACTTCCTCCTGCCGATAAGGGACCCTCTGCCCGTGGAGATAAGGGCGCGAGGAGCGAGGACAAAGCACCGTGTTTTTACAGCCCTGCAAGCACTTAAATCAGGGCGAATTCCGGCGCTGCTGAGCCGTCCTGTTGGAGATTGCGTTGCTGGAGCACGGGCTTCTTCCTCGGCACGGGGAGGATTTGCGCCATCGCCTTGCAGAGCTGCAAGGCTGCGGCCGTGATTTCTCCTGTCCGCTTGGGCCCAAATTACCGTGCTTGTCCCACTGATCTTCTCATTGACGTTTGGAAGGGTCGTTTCGGCCTCTGAGCTCCTTAACAGCCAAGCGGAGCTGCCAGGAGGAATGATGAGTGCTCGCCGCCCTCCGAGCACTGTCAAGAGCATGACAGAAACGCAGGGTGTCTCTGCGCGCCCCGCGGGAAGGCAGAGCCGAGCACCGGGATTTATAGCGCTCGGCAAAGACCCGGCCTCATCCATCTCCTGCCGCGCGCGGGGAGCTTGGATTTCTCCTGCACGTTATCGCGGACGTCCCCGGAGGCAGGATGTCTTAAACTTGGTTTTACACGCCCGCGCTTCCCACCGCCGTCACTGTGCGCGGTTAAGGAAGAGACACGGGCGCTTGCAGGCCCTGCCGTGGATCCAGCTGCAGCTTCACCCTCCGGTTCCTTTGCTGCTTTCCCCCTTGGTGCCGCCGTGGCTACAGCCACCGTGGGTTCCGCTTGGCGCTGCCCGGGGCTCTGTCCTCGCAGCAATGGGGACAAGTGTCCCCTGCCCCTCCGGATGCTGCTTGCAAGGCAGCTTCATCTGCAGCATCGCAGGGCGAGGCTCTTTCCCCTGCAGGCTGCAGGGAGCGTTTCCCAAGAGGGATGTCGGGTGGGAAAACGTGGTCTGAGCGGCCAGCTCCTCGCCCAGGGAGCAGGAGCTGCCGCGGGGATGTCTGGTCTCTGGGGAGCCCCGCTCCTGCACCGGAGCTCTCCTTGTCCACGAGTGGGGCCAAATGAGCCACCAGAAGCCACCTGAACGTTTTCCCCCCAAATGGGGACATTTTATTGTCCGTTTCCCCCCACACAGACGCTGGCGGAGGGCGTCGCGGCACCCTTGGGTGCGGGGGTGCGCCGGGGCCGGGCCGGTGGCGGCCGCAGCGCCGCGGCGAGCAGCAGC